TCCACCACCTTCCCACTGCCTCCACTAAGAGCGCTTTTGTTCCCAAGGATAACAGCAAGAACGTTGTTGGCTGTAACATGATGCCCTGTATAATCCTGCCATAGGGAAATACTATCAGAATAGAGTACATTAACTCTTTAAGTTTTAACTAGTGATTCACACCTGAGAAAGAACCTACCTTTGGAACTCCTTTATAGACATCATGACCATTAGGGCTATTTATGATGACTCCTGGCCTAGGATTCTCAGGATTATGAGCAATGTCATCATACATAAACACAATAATATTTTCATCCTTGAGGCCACCTTTCTTCAACAGCTGATATGCGTGACAAACATCTGCCTGGTACAAAAGAGACAAAATTTACAACGCTTATTAGCAAAATAGAAGCAAGAGCTAATAGAAAACAGTGCATTATTCTCATTCCAATAGCCTCGTCTGAGGTCCATTTCAAGGTTTCATCCATATCTAACCAATATTTTCATGCAAATTCAGCTTACAAAGTAGCCGATGCACCTCCAAATTCTCAATAATTAAGAATATAGTGTTACATATGTTGGCTTTAGCTTTGTTCGAATAAATCACAGACATTTTTGTATTTTCATATCACCTTAATTTCCAAACAAGCCTACATGTTGGGTAACTAATTAGTAAGTCGTCATGCTCATAAACAGCGACTTAACTCTAGCTGATACTAAAACCAGAAAATACAAAAACTTCAAAGCAATCATTTTGTCATCTATACATCTATTTATTTGATTCTTCTTGTTTGCTATTCAAATGCCAAAAAGAAAGAAGAGAGAGGGGAAAATCTTTAATTTGGTAAAAAGCTAAATTGGGGGCAAGGTGAAGAGTAACCTGGTGCCTGTAATTCCAGCAACCTCTTGATCCAGCAACCAGCACAGCCCATTTAGTACCAATTGAATCATCATCGTACTCACCACTGAAAAACTTTAATGCTTCCGACGGTAATTTCAGCACATCCCTGCCGTCAACGGCGGCGAGAATTGACAGTCCAATGATCAAGACAGCACTCACAACGTAGCGAACAATCATTGTTCAAACAAGGTAATCAAAGCTAGTAAATTTTTTTGCAATGGAAAGCTTATCACTTACTCTTGAAATGAGAACTACTCTCTAGAGCAGTACGAGTTTCACGTTGAACAGGCAATTATCTGAGTTTCATATCACAGTTGGAAAGAAAAAAAGAAGTTTCAGTGACGATATTGTCATTTTTAGTTTTTATGCTAGTCAATTAATGAGATGATTAGGCTTCATTAGGAATGTTAGATGTTGATTAAACTTAAAAAGGAGATTAGCAAAATTACGAGGAATATTCCTTGTGTTCTTTTTTTCGTTAATTTTAATATTTAATATTCCATCTGTCTAGAAAAAAGTGATTAGCTTCCAATTCCAAAAGTAAGAATATCGAAATTATAGATTTTCACCCTTTTAAGTTCAAAAAATTTGAAAAGTAATTTCATATTTAAATAAAAAATTTAAGAATTAGCCCAAAGACTGAAGTAAGATTTTCTAACATTTCATAAATATTAAGGTTTGATTTTATAATTTCAAAAGTTTAATAAATTTAATAAAACATCAAACTCATCACGCTTAAATTCTGAATCGCAAATAATCCATTAGAATCTATATACAATAATGAACATTCTGAGTGGAATAATAAATTCGTCAAAACCCTCCTAAGAATGTTTCAAAACAAACTTGGAGCTTGTTAATTGTTTCAGATTAACGCAGCATTTTACTAAAGGTTCAAAATATCATTTTCCAATTAAATTAGTATTGTATTTCCTAATTATAGTTTTTAGTTCAATTTGTTCACTCACCACCCACGTAGCACTCTACTGAATATATTAATTACAGTATGGCCAGCTATGGTCCATGTCGTTGCAGTACAAGTAGGTATACCATCAACATCTATGCCCACAATTAATAACAAAGCAAATTGCGTTACTATATAAATCTTGAGACACCAAATTAATTTTTACCTTGGATTGGCTAATGCAGTCGCACAATTTGTAAGAAATGAATACAAAATTACTTAATATTATATCAATATTTAATTTAGATAGAAATTAATACTATATAATATAGGTAAAATTTATGAAAGTAATCGTTAATACAAAATCAAATAAAGATAAATAAATAATTTTTACAGTGTGACTTGAAATAAAGGTTTTCCCGCAAAGGGCAGCCCGATGCACTAAACTCTCGCTATGCACGGGGTCCGGAGAAGGACCGGAAAGGTTTCTTCGCAAAGAAAAAGAATAATGGTTTGCTCCTATAATTTTTTTCTATAGAAAATTTAGTAACAAGAAAATCTAATCGAAAATATCGACAAATTCTTGTGAAGTCCAATAGACCGTAAAGTTGCGTACAATAAATCCTTGTGGTTCGGCCCTTTTCTAGCCCCCGCATATAGCGGAAGCTTAGTGCACCGGGCTGCTCTTCTTGCGAAGTCCAAAATAGAAAAATAATGAAATTCGAAAAAGTCAACTGCGCTAATTTCCTGTCTATCCAAATTTAATTTCTGAATAACATATACAGTCATGATTCAATTATTAAGGTCCACTTAATTTGATTTTGTTAATCTCTCATCTTTCTAATGGATTTGATTGGTATAACGGAAAATACAAAAAAATCGGTGATTCGATAAATAATTTTTATAATTCAAAAAATCATAATAATGAAATTTAACTAAACATCCCCTCGCTCCATTTCATTTCATTTGTCTTCTCTTTCCTTCTATATGCGGAAAAAATGTGATCATCAAATCTATGACATATAATATTGGAACTCATGCATTTGGAACGCCCGAGGCCAATTTTCCTTGTTGCTTTGCTTCTCTGGCTACTGCTTCGGCGAAGACGTCCTTTCCAAATGTTCACCTGTATAATTAATAAAATGATGATGTACTATCCAGTTTGTAATATAATTGAAAACTTTAAGAATTTAAAGGACTGCCTCACTTTGTGGTCCTCTCATTTTTCAATTGAAACGAGTAGGACTTTACTTTTGATCGTAATTCCTTACTCTTGGGAATATTATGCAATTAATTAGTTTGATAGCTTGTCTCTAAGAAGACAATTCGGTAAATAAGAATTTATAATTAATCATACTAAAGAATTCAGATCCATTTATGTTTTAACATTTAACTACGGCTTCTCAGTTGGACCTTTTTTATATAAAAAAGATTAGTGAAATTTACACTGTTTAGCCGCTAGTGACTGTAATTTATTTTTTACTGAATGGATAATGTGTAAAATTTATATATTTAGACAGTCCCAAGATTAGTGAAATTTATACAGTTTAGCCGCTAGTGACAATTTATATATTTAACTAGTGACTGTAATTTATTTTTTACTGAATGGATAATGTGTTGATAACCAAAAAATTATGTGTAAAGAACAAGATTTATACCTCACAAAGCTGTCTTTAGAGCGCGAATTAGATGATCTTGTATATGTAGGTCCAAATTTGGTAACCACGATAACAGATAAGTAAAACAAAGGACGGGGTCGACCACGATACAACGGCTGAAGGTCGTCCTCATAAAGGCTGACATCAGAAGCAGGCAGTTGAGATAGGATAGTAACGGTAACTTAGGTTCAGAAGTGGACATAAAGAATATTGGGAAATGTGCCTTATAAATAGGAAGAGATAAGAAACAAAAAGGGGGATCTGCCTTTTCTCAACTAGAACATATTGTAAAAGTTAAAAGAAGAATATACAAAAGAGTTGTCTTATTCATTTATTCAAGCTCATGTTGTTCAATCTTTATCCCTAAATCTCAAGGTCCCATATACATTTTGACCTCTCGCTTTTCCACATCGCCGTCAGAGAACAGGAACATCCCAATCATATAATCATTGGGTGATAGTTCCTTTCCTATTATAATCCTTGTTATTTCTTACATTTATTATACATTTATACTATTACATGTATTGTCCATCCCAGCATATTAAGTTCACTGTTTAATGCTCCTGAACTCTACTCATTATATAAGAGCTTTATTTTATGTCTTCTAGAATTTATTAAGTTCAACTAAGATTCGCCCTTTTAATTTATCATTAATTGGTTTAGCATTTATTTGCTCAAACAATTTGGCGCCGTTTGTGGGGAGGTTTTAGTTGAAACTATAGTTCTTTCTAAATCATAAAAAAAAATCATGTCTTCTTCGTTTGCACAAACTAACGATGGCAGGAAAAGGAGATGCAAGACTGAAAGCGATAGCAGGCGCCACTACCAATATTTTGAATATTATCAACGAAGATGGCAGGGAAGACAACGAGAATTTGACACCAAACGCTATGCCGAGGAGAAGTGCTTCACCACCCCGTCACGAAAGCGTGACAGCTTCACGCGAAAGGAGAGTCTCCACGTATACAACCGAAGAAGCACCACCAGCAGTGAAAAAAATTACTAGAAAAGTGGCTGACATGCACTCTAAATAATATACTCGACAGACCTGCTCAAAGGGAGAATAGAAACAGCGCGCAAACAGATATCATAACAACAACTGGTGCCCATTCCTCAAACAATTAACACTTACCCCACTGTTGATGCAGGTAATGATGCGCTCGCAGCCATTCTAAAGAAAATAGAAGAAATAGAAAACGAAAATAAGGCGCTCCATGACCAGATAAGGGAGCATCAAGAAAGTGTCGATAAGATACTAGGCGACCCAAAGTTACTACCGAAACGAGACGTTGATCGATTCGTCGAACAACTGTATAGCGAAGAAGCGACTCCATACGACATTTCCAAAACCTTCAAAATGCCACCGTACCTGAAGATATACGATGGTACTACAGACCCATAAGATCACATCATCTACTACGTCACAGCGGTGAAGGGCAACGATCTTTCGAAGGAGCAAGTACCATCGGTATTACTAAAAAAGTTCAGGGAAACCTTAACAGGGGGAGCCTTAACCTGGTATTCACAACTGTCGGCGCGGTCCATAGCAATGTTCGAGGAAATGGCCGACAAGTTTGTCACCGCCCATGCAGGGGCTAAAAAGGCGAAAGCCAGGGTGAATCATATATTCTCCATTAGGAAATCGCCTGGCGAGGGACTCAGGGACTTCCTCACCCGGTTTAACAAGGTGAGAATGAGTCTACCAAATGTATCAGAAAGGATGACGGTAGTGGCCTTCCAGAATGGGTTGAGTAGGAACGGGTCAAGAGCAACCAGAAAACTATTAAGCAGGCTCATGAAATACCCTCCCACCACTTGGAAAGAAATCCACAATGCCTATTGCGCCAAGGTGAGAGCCGACGAGGACAACCTTAACAGTCCGACCCAACGGTTGACGTCAGTTCAAGTAGAATCAAGGAAAGATCGTCGTAACAACGGTCGAAGGGATCAGTCGGGCCCTCGTCTCAACCAAGAAAGACATCAGCCCTACGTCAGAACAGTTGTCCCACCGTCTCCTCGACATACGGAAGGGCCACCCAGGCCGCTCACAGGGACTCAGCAAAATAAAAGAGGTATGCCTCCACTCTTATTCGCTCACAATTTTTGTGTTTCCCCTTCAGAAATAGTGTACGCACTAGAGAAGCTTGGCGTGAAGGTGAAATGGCCACAAAAGATGAAGTCCGACCCAAGTACTCGGAAGTTGAATGTCCTCTATGAATTTCTCCAGGAACGGGGTCACAAAACCGAGGACTGCATAGCTCTACGGCAAGAGGTAGTAAAAATGCTATGAGCAACCGTGGACAAGCCAACTTTTCCCGCGAACGTGAACAACACCAGGGACCTCCAAAGCCACCCTCCCCCGCTCGCACCATCCAAATGATCATCAGTGGAGGCGATGAAGCAACGATCAACCATGTGAAGTTCACCACTACACATAAACTAAAATGGTCGATCACCCACGAACGATACGACGACCTCGGAGACAGTATCATCTTCGATATGTCAGATACCGACATTTTGACTTTTCCTTATTTTGATGCTCTTGTTATTACTTTATGTATTTCGGATACAGATGTAAGAAGAATAATGGTAGACGATGTAAGTGGCGCGTGTATTATCCACCCTCACATCCTCACACAAATAAGACTCGAAGACAAGATAGTACCTCGTTGCATAACACTAACAGGCTTTAACAATGCAGCTGAGCGAACCTCTGGGGAAATGACGCTACATGTTCTGGCTGGGGGCATCACCCTAGAAACAACATTCCATGTCATAAACCAAGATACAGCTTACAACGCCATCATAGGGCGGCCATGGATACGCGCCATAAGGGTTATCCTGCCATCATAGGGCGGCCATGGATACGCGTCATAAGGGTTATCCCATCAAGCCTCTATCAAGTAATCAAGTTCCCTACTCCATGAGGAATGTTCAGTATCCGGGGAAAATAATGCACCACCCAAGAATGCTATCATATCGCCCAGGATTGCACGTACACCCAACAGCTGAAGGGAACTGACGCAGAGGCATAGAAATTACCAAAGTCGGGGACCAGACTCGACGTACAAACAGACGTCATCAGGGACCCCAACATTGTGGAAGTCATTGAGTCAACGGTAGAAGATCTCAATCCCGTCCAACTGAACAACAGCAACAGCAACAAAAAGGCTTACATCGGACATAAGCTCTCAGAACCAGGTAAATTTCACAAGTTTTTAATTGACAATGCCGATCTGTTTGCTTTCTCCCATGCAGATATACCGGGTATCCCAAAAGACGTGGCCATACACAAGCTGAACATCAACCCACTCTATCCACTAGTGCGTCAAATAAGAAGGAAATTCAACTCCGCGATCAATGAGGCCGTAAGTGATGAAGTAGATAAACTCCTCGCCAACGGTTCCATCCGGGAATCAAAATACCCCCAGTGGGTTGCCAATGTGGTCATGGTAAAAAAGAAAAACGGAAAATGGTGAATGTGTGTAGATTTCACACACCTAAACAAGGCATGCCAAAAAGACTCTTTTCCATTACGTCACATCGACCAGCTCATCGACGCAACAACAGGAAACGAATTGCTAAACTTCTTGGACGCCTACTCGGGTTACAACCAAATCCTCATGGAGAAAGAGGACCAAGAGAAAACTACTTTCATCACCCATCAGGGAACGTACTGCTACAAAGTCATGCCATTCGAGTTGAAGAATGCGGGGGCAACGTACCAAAGGTTGGTCACCAAGATGTTTAAAGTTCAACTCGGCAAAACAATGGAAGTTTACATATCAAAAAGTAAAGAAGATCACATCGATCACCTAAAAGAAGCCTTCGGTATACTGAGGCGGTACGACATGAAACTAAACCCCGAAAAATGCGCATTTGGCGTAACCTCGGGCAAATTTCTCGATTTCTTGGTATCACAAAGAGGCATCGAAGTCAATCCCGATCAAATCAAAGCCATTGAAAGGATACCTGAAGTGTGTTAACCAGCAAGAAACAGGTGCAAAAATCGACTGGCCGTATAGTTGCCCTGTCAAGATTCATCTCACGGTCATCCAACAGATGCCACAAATTCTTCAACGTGCTGAAAAAAGACAACGGGCTCCAGTGGAATTCATAATGCATCGATGCCTTAAGATAACTAAAGGCATACTTGTCCTCGCCCCCACTACTTCCCAAAGCAGAGCCTGGCGAACTCCTCCTAATATATTTAGCCGTCTCAGAAGTCGCGGTAAGTGCGGTGCTGGTCTGCGATAACAAAGGTACGCAATCTCCAATTTATTATATTAGCAAAACCCTGGTCGATGCCGAAACGAGGTACCCCTACCTCGAGAAATTGGCCTTACCATTGGTTATAGCTTCACGAAAGCTTAGACCCTATTTTCAGTGCCATCCCATATTGGTAGTGACGACCTTCCCTCTTGCGGAGCATCCTACATAAACTCGAATTGTCGGGAAGAATGGCCAAGTGGGCCATAGAATTGAGCGAGCACGATATAACATATCAGCCGCGAACAACGATAAAATTGCAGGTACTTGCCGACTTCGTCGCCGATTTTAGTGCCAAAATAATGCCCGAGGTCGAGCAGGAAGCTTCTCATACCTCCCCTGGGAAACCTGACCTCTATGTCCTTTACACCGACGGCGCATCCAACACGTCGGGATCTGGACTAGGACTCGTACTCGAGGTCCCAATAGGGGAAGTTATCCACCAGTCCATACGGTACCCCGATATGACTAACAATGAGGCCGAGTATAAGGCCATAATTGCAGGGTTAAAGCTCGCTCTCAAATATGGAGCACGACGAGTCATCCTCAGATGCGACTCACAACTCATCGCCAACCAAGTTATAGGAGCTTTCCAAATCAAAGAGCAAAGGCTACAAAAGTACCAGGCAGAAATTCACAAACTACTACCAGAATTCGATGAATGTCGACTCGACCAGATACCTCGAGCTCAAAACATCGAGGCGGATGGCCTCGCCAAACTAGCAACAGCTACCAAAAATATCACTAAAGAAAATGTGGTCACTCTCCTCCACTCGTCAATAGACCAACTCGAGGTACATTCCATAAATTTGGGTTGGGACTGGCGCAACCGCATCATGACATATTTGCAGGAGGGAGTACTCACACAAGACAAAAAAAGAAGCCAAAAAGCTTCGAATGCAGGTAGCCAGGTACAACATCATAAATCACGACATGTACAAGAAAACATTCGAGGGGCCCTTGGCGAAATGCTTAGGGCCAAATCAAACAAGACGTGTGCTCAAAGAAGTGCACGAAGGTCATTGTAGCGCCCATAGAAGCAACCAAGCCCTCATCAGATGTCTCATTCGGGCAGGTTATTACTGGCCCACTATGAAAAAGGAAGCTGCAGATTACGTCAAGAGGTGCGAGCAGTACCAAAAGTGCGCACTTATGATACATCAAGCGAGCGACAACCTCCACTCTGTCACTTCGCCATGGCCGTTCATCAAATGGGGAATGGACATCATCGGACCCCTCCCAGCGGGGAGAGGTAAGATACGTTTTCTTTTGGTTTTAACAGACTACTTTTCCAAATGGGTGGAAGTAGGTGTGTTCACCCAAATATGTGAACATGAAGTCATCACATTCATATGGAGGAACATCATATGCTGCTTCGGCATCCCCAAAGAAATCAGCTGCGATAATGGGCCCCAATTCACTGGGAAAAAGACCATTGAGTTCTTCGAAAAATGGCGCATCAAGCGAATACTCTCCACACCATATCATCTCACTGGAATGGTCAAGCCAAATCATCCAACAAAATAATATTGAATATCTTAAAGAAAAAGCTCAAGGACGCCAAAGGGTTATGGCCGGAGTTGCTACCAGAGGTACTATGGGCCTACCGCACCACGCCAAAAACAAGTACAGGCGAAACGCCATATTCTCTTGTCTATGGGACCGACGCCATGATACCTGTTGAGGTCAGAGAGCCTAGCCTGAGATACTCCAATGAAAGCGGACAAAACAACGACGAGAACAGAAAACAAGACCTCGACGAGGCAGAAGAACAAAGAGACATGGCTTACGTAAGAATGGTAGCCCCAAAACAACAAGCAGACAGGTACTACAACAAAAAGGCCAAAATATGACCACTTAAAGTTGGAGACTATGTTCTCAAGGCCAAAACACAAGCGAGCAAAGACTCGAAAGAAGGCAAACTAGGAACCAATTGGGATGGGCCATACAAAATCACAACAACAGCAAGCAAATGAGCATTCCAACTAGAAACAATGGAAGGAAAACTACCACAAAATAATTGGAATGTCGCCCACCTCAAACACTTCAACTTCTGAAAAAGGACGCCCCTTATGTCGTACTCTTTTTCCCTCACTCGGGTTTTGTCCTAATTGGGTTTTCTCGGGGAGGTTTTTAACGAGCCAACGAGGGGGATGTCTCGAAGTTCAAAGTATAATTCATTTCCCGGCCTACGGATTGCTTCTCTAGGACGAACGATGAAGGGACTAGATACATGGAAACCTCTCCAATATTTGTATAAAACAGACATGTATAGTACTCCAGTGAATGAAATAAAGCAGCATTTTGTACTCTCCAACAAGATATTCTCCAATGAGTGAAATAAAGCAACATTTTACTCTCCATAGTTTTTTCATCTAACATTCGACCTCGCTCGAATTACATAACATTCGACATCGCTCGAATTACTAAACTTTCGACATCGCTCGAATTACTGAACATCCGACCTTGCCCGATATACTGAACATTCGACCTCGCTCGAATTACTGAACACTCGACCTCGTTCGAATTACTGAACATTCGACCTCGCTCGAATTACTGAACATTCGACCTCGCTCGAATTACTGAACACAGCCTTGCTCGAGTTACTTTAAGATCTGCGACCGACTATGCCGAAACATTACACACAAGCGGCCAAAAAGCCAGGGACTTTACCTCACAGCAAACAAAAATAACAATTCGGAGATACATAGCAAAAAGGTAATCATTCCATTACAACTGTTATATTACAAAACTTTTTACAAAGGGCCTAAAGACGCCCTCACAAAAATAGCAAGGCAAAACAAAATAAATACAACGGCCCTATGCCGCGTCATCCCCCGCGGTATACTCCTCGTTATACCAAGAATCAGAGGCGAGCTTGTCCGCATCATCATCGACATCGTTCCCGCCAGGCGTACCGGGATCATACCACAGGCTTCACAGGCTGCACATGCTTTAACACGAACACCCTTGAGTTCTACCTCGGAAACCTTCCCGTTGGCCTTCAAGGAATTGTACACATCAAGCTGAGCCTCGGCATGAACCCACATCTCATACAACTCCTGCAGCACGACGGGATCAACAGAACTATAAGACATGGATGGATGTGACTGTCATCACACTTCATCTACCTTCAAAGCAACAACCTATTCACTCAATCAGGAATACTCCGCCTCCAGATCTGGGATCCGCTCTTTTAATCTCGCTACTCAGACCTACAAATGCGGAGGGCATCATCCAGGGCTGCTACTTCAGATATGGCAGCCACCCTGCCTTTTTCGGTACGAGCCAATTCATTGACTTTTACGCTCAACTCACCCTTCAAATCAACAGGCTCTGCTTCTCTTCACCCAAGCTCAGCAGTTAAAGAGCCCACCTGCACCTGAAGATCGGCGTTCTCGGCCATCACCCCTTTGCTCACCTCGAGCTCATCGTCCTTGGCCTTAAGAGCTGCCTCAAGTTCACTGCATCGACCTATGGCCTTCATTATCTCATTATCCCGCTTCTTTAGCTCTTCGATTTTCTATGCCAACTCCTCCTCCTTCTGCTTAAGCCCGTCACAAAATAGCTGAAAATAACTATCT